AACTTGGAGCGATTAGTGCAAGCACGCGTTTGTGCAGATGAGCAGTCGCCGGCATGTTATTGAACTGCCATGAGCAATGCGTTGACGTCCGCGGCCCCGCGATAATGATATCTAACATGGGAAGGTAAGCTTGGCGTTTTGGAAGGTCAGAGGGGACGAACTGATTGAGGGTTCCGGTAGTGTAGTGCTGATACTCGCGTTAACCACTGCGTGTCTGGTAAACCAGAGGTACGGGGTTCGATTCCCCGCGGTGCCCGCCTTACCTGCCTGGGTGAGAGGCAGGCGACGCCATTCAGCCTCACCAGCTGAGTGTCGTAAAGCCTCAGGGACGACTGCCATGAGAAGCGAGTATAAATTAAACACCACAAGGCTGACAAAAAGTGTTATGTACCTGCGATAGTATTGATAACATTTTCGCAAGATGCGGTCAACCACATTGGGACGCAACCTCGGCGTTTTGCCGGCGTTTTTGGGTCACCGATACAAATAACTGGTTTGAGGCCGATTTCGCGAAATGTCTCGAAGCCGTCTAACGGACGCTGCCAACTCGCGGGGTAATTGTCGCTAAATTAGCGGAATAATCTGATCATATCAGCTGAAGCTTGAGCCCCTGGTGTGACGTTTTGCAGCTTTGGTCTGATCACTGGCAGCCGCGGCGGGGATTGGCAACACTTTGGCGGATCTGGTGCTCGGTCAGCAGCGCTGCTGTGCTGGTGACGCCGCCGGCGGATCTGGTGTTGGGTCAGCAGGACTGCTGTGCTGGCGACGCCGCTGACGGATCTGGTGCTGGGCCAGCAGGGCCGCTGTGCTGGTGACGCCGTTGACGGATCTGGTGCTGGGCCAGCAGGGCCGCTGTGCTGGTGACGCCGCTGACGGATCTGGTGCTGGGCCAGCAGCACTGCTGTGCAGGTGGCGCTGACATAATACGCCGATATCAGTCGTCGGCTGGTGTTTAGACCGATTGGAGCGGCTCCGATCGCCGTGTCTTATGGGTCGTGGCTTGGACTGACCTCACCGCGACTATCGAGTGATCGAATTGGAGAAGGCTTTTGTGTTGGTGCTCGCGGCATTGCAACAGAAATATCGGCAATTGAGGAGATTCAGAAGGTTGTCAAGGGATTTAAAACCCACCTTATGTGCTCGCCGCTCAAGAGCATTTGTGATAGTTAGGTGAGAGAGAAAATAGTAGAAAAGACGGGCGGAGGCGGAGGCTTTGGAGTTTTTCAGTTCTAGCGCATTTGTCGACGTTCCAATTTTGCAAGAAAGCCTCAGCGATCTGTGCTAGATTTATCCACCTTTTTCCTGGTGCACATAAGGAGCCAATGCACGGAGGCGAAGAGAAGAAGGCTGGCCAGTGGTTCGAACTAAGGCCATAATTGTTGGGCCTCGTGGCTTTCGTTCCTTCAGCCACATTTCTCCCATTCAGGACCACGCAAAGACTTCAACTGACTGCCAAGACGGCCCCACAGTAAGCTCTGAACGTGGTTTTTAAACCCTTGGTAGGCTGATTGACATTAAAGGTGAGTTAGTGGTGATGTGTACGGTGTTGGTAATAGGCACGCGATCGCCAAGAATTTCGTTGCTTTGTAGTCATATAGAATGAAAACATCTGGGTATCCTTGGCAAACACGTTTGTCCGAGAACTTGACGTTTTGGGTGACATGTCTCAGTTGGGATACTTGTGAGATAGCTGCTATTCGCTGGCGTAAGGACCAGTGCGCGGAACTGCAGCTGCACACTGCAAACGCCGTGTTATGCACGCATCCTTACAAGGAACAAAGCAGCGCGAATCATGTGAGGGAATCCTGCGGGACCAAACGCACGAAGTTATGCTATCCGTGTATGGTACTTTTATGGCTTTCTCAGCCATCTCGCTATTTCCTCGTCCTCTGCAGTTTAATGAGGTCGGCCCCCAATAACTGACGTGCCCCAAACTGTTGTGCATCAAGGTGTCCTTAACCCCAAGCCCTGCCTTGGATCTTTATGTCATTGGCGTTATCCTCATCCCACGCCCTATGTTTATTTCGAGAAGCCAGGCGCTCCATGTCATAGTGATTGGTGCAAGAAAAGCCACATGCTCGCCGATGTAGTAGTCAATACAGCATAGTATAACCTTGCCCCACCATGCCAGCAATCACAAGCAACGACAAGGAAAGGATGCTCTTTGTTGGCTTTATTGGCTGCACAGGGCACGCAGGTGCCAAATGAAATGTGCAGATGTGCACCAGGTCGAAGGGGCAGAATTGTTAAACAAGGAACTAAATATGGGAACAGTAGACGTGGAAAAGCCGTGTTCCTGAGTGGGGCTACACCTGAGAGCTCAGTCGGGCTGTCTTCACCGTTTTCAGCGATGGAACAGTCGTGTGCTGTTGCAGGGTCGCAAAGCGAGAGGAGGCGGAATGACCGGCGAAGCTTGAGCCCATCTCAAACGTGCCGCGATTCCCCCAATGGTGCGTGTCTGAACAGGACTGCTGCCTCAGTCCTCTCAGGTTCGCCCGCCGGGCTCCTGGGAGAGGACGGCTGCCGGTTCTCCCAGCCTTACCCGCCGGGCTCCTGGGAGAGGATGACTGCCGGTTCCCCAGCCTTACCCGCCGGGCCCCTGGAAGAGGACGGCTGCCGTTCCCCCAGCCTTACCCGCCGGGCCCCTGGAAGAGGACGGCTGCCGTTCCCCCAGCCTTACCCGCCGGGCTCTTGGGAGAGGACGGATACCGGTTCCCCCAGCCTTACCCGCCGGGCCCCTGGAAGAGGACGGCTTCCGTTCCCCCAGCCTTACCCGCCGGGCCCCTGGAAGAGGACGGCTGCCGTTCCCCCAGCCTTACCCGCCGGGCCCCTGGGAGAGGACGGCACCATGCGAAGCGCCGTCGGAACAGCCGCCGCCTCGTCAGCCGCACTCACGCCCGGTTTCTCCCCTCGTACCGACCGAGACGTACGTGCTCCGCGGCGATATCAAACCTGCCTGGGCCGGCGCGACCGCGCCCAGCCAGCGCCGCCACGATCGTGTGACACGTGCGGCGCGTGCTGCCACGGCTCGGCTGCCCCGCACCGTCCGCGTGTGTGACGCTCACCTCAAGGGTTCGGATGAGTTGTACGATATCGCCCGTTGGCGGGTGGTGATCGCGTGAAGGCTCGCCGTATCCGGCCTGCTGGTGTGACTCCCCGTCACATGGAGCCGCTGGGGGACGTGACGGGCGCACTACACCACGACCATCACGCTTCACCACGACCATCACGCTTCACCACGACCATCACGCTTCACCACGACCATCACGCTTCACCACGACCATCACGCTTCACCACGACCATCACGCTTCACCACGACCATCACGCTTCACCACGACCATCACGCTTCACCACGACCATCACGCTTCACCACGACCATCACGCTTCACCACGACCATCACGCTTCACCACGACCATCACGCTTCACCACGACCATCACGCTTCACCACGACCATCACGCTTCACCACGACCATCACGCTTCACCACGACATCACGCTTCACCACGACCATCACGCTTCACCACGACCATCACGCTTCACCACGACCATCACGCTTCACCACGACCACCACGCCACGCCATGGCTACGACGCTACACCATGGCTACTACGACCACCACGCTGCACTATGACCACCATGACCACCACGCTGCACTATGACCACCACACTTGCTACGCATCGTGGTAATTATGCGCACTGTGCCGCGTACGTCACTTTGTAGTCACAGGTGGAATGTGTAGCCAGAACTGATTTTGCATTGATGGAGGCGATCATCTCAGCTGAATTGGATGCATTGCTCAGAGTCCTTAGTCCCTGGCCCTTAATTTCGTGGTCCTTGGGCCTCTTGATCATTTTCCCGAAGTGTCTGGGTAACCTCGTCAGTCAGTTATTTGTTTTCACATATGTTAGCAAGTAGGCAGATCGCTCCGGTCCATGTAGATGACGGTGGCGCAGTGTCGGCTCTCTGTCCCGGCAGCTGGCCTGCCCTCCGTGGTCTGCTCGAGGCTGGTGTGTAGAAGCACGTTACGGTCAATGTGGATGACGGTGGCGCAGCGTCGGCTCTCTGTCTCGGCAGCTAACCTGCCCTCCGTGGTCTGCTCGGGCCTGGTTTGCAGTGGGACGTTCCGATCCTTTTGGATGACGGTGGCGCGGCGTCGGCTCTCTGTCCCGGCAGCTGGCCTGCTCTCCGTGGTCTGCTCGGGCCTGGTTTGTAGTGGGACGCTCCGGTCGCTGTGGATGACGGTGACGCAGCGTCGGCTCTGTTTTAGCTCCGTCTCCCTTCCGTGGTCGGCTCGAGCTGGTGTGCTCGTGGCGGCTCGCCACAGCATGAAGCCCGCAGGCGCTCATGCGGCCGGTGTGTGTCCAACTGAACAGCATCCAGCAGCTGGTAGGCATTTGGTGGCGTTAGTGCTTTGAGCGTTCGAGGCGTGTCCCAATGCATTTTGGATCGTTTTCGGGCAATGGCTGAGCGAGGTATGCTTCTAACGGACAGCCGTTGGAGGCCCCTGCGCTGACCCTGGCTCCGGATGTAGGGCAGGGAGTGGCAGACAGGGCAGTGGGCACATGAACGATAACGAAACTGAAGCCAGACCGATGGCCCGTCACACTCGGCGCAGCACAGCCATGGTGCATGTGTCGTTAATTCCGGCGATTGCGGGTGCTTTCTAATGACCTTGTTCCCCGAGCATTACAAATCACTAGATTGGTTTGTTTACGTTCCACGGAAGAGCCGATTTCCGGGTCGGAGGCGTGTCGTCGCCAGCCGTGGGAGCGGCGCACGCGCTCGCTCGCGTTGTTCACGCTGGGGGACTGGATAAACCAGGTCCTGCGGGCCATGGCCGCTGCCAGTTTCGGTATTCAGGGGCGGACGGTTGGGCCGTTGCTTGCGTCAGTCTTTGTCGTCGGTGCCCCAGGCATCGTGAACGTACTCCTAGAGGCATTGTTTTCTTTTTTAGCTAAATGCGTCGAAACAAGGGACTTTCTCCTGACTCATCACGCATGTCGCGAAGCCCCCACGAATATGTGTATTTACTGTAGATACGGCATCCATGTGTTGAAACAATGTATCGTGAGCGTTTAATGCCTCGATTTTATTCATGTCCAGTAAACGCGACACGTTAGCCTCACTGGAATACCAGCCGTGGGCATCCATAGGACGCCCCCGCAAATTATTTCCTGGAATCACGGCGCGACCTGGTTGGGGCAGGTGATCACAGCACGATTCCGCTGGTAAGCCACATGCCGCTTATCAACCACTTGCCATCACTGCTTGGTCGACAACAGCTGGCGCCGGCAACAGTGAGCCGCGCTGACACCGCTCAGTGTCAGCCCGCAGCCGACGGAGATCCCCCGGCGTCCGACCTGTCACAGTCTCGGTCTACACCGCAGTCTCCCGAGCCGCCGCGGTCCCCAGTTTCCCGAGCCGCGGCGGTCCCCGGTCTTCCGAGCCGCGGCGGTCCCCGGTCTTCCGAGCCGCCGTGGTCCCCGGTCTCCCGAGCCGCCGCGGTCTCCGGTCTCCCGAGCCGCCGCGGTCTCCGGTCTCCCGAGCCGCCGCGGTCCCCGGTCTCCCGAGCCGCCGTGGTCCCCGGTCTCCCGAGCCGCCGCGGTCTCCGGTCTCCCGAGCCGCCGCGGTCCCCGGTCTCCCGAGCCGCGGCGGTCCCCGGTCTCCCGGGCCGCCGCGGTCCCCGGCCCGCGGGCTGCGGCGGTCCCCGGCTCGACAGCCGCGGCGGCCGGCGCATGCTCAGTGACCGTACGGGCAGTTCTTCTGGTCCGTACGCTGCAGCTTGCTCGGGTCCAGGCCGTAGCGGCGGATCTTGCGCCTGACGTCCTTGATAAGATACGGGTCGGGGAAGCGCTCGCGCGTCAGGATCCACAGGATCTGCGCATTGAACAGCTTCATGTCGGTACAGGACCAGACGATGGCGTAGTTGTGGTAGTCGGTGTCGATGACGTTGTAGTTGGGTCCGCTGCCGAAGCTCGGCGTGCCCTGGAAGCTGACGCGCAGCTTCGCTTCCCCCTGCCTGCCGGCCGGTACCGCCTGCCCGCGGATGTCGTTCTTCCGTCCGTTCTTCCGCGACTGGTTCAGCACGCCGATGCGGCCGTAGCCAGCGTCCGAGTACGTGGCCGTCACGCACGTGCCGCCTACCTGGAAGATGGCGAAGTAGTTGCTGTACTCGTACCACTTGCCGAGGTAGCGCTCCGCCTGGAAGTGGCGCACCACGGGCGGCCGGGGGCAGCTGCCAGCGAACATCACCTGGCCGGCGGCCGAGGCGGCCAGCAGCAGCAGCAGCGGTGGCACTGCGCGCGTCGCCGTCATCGTCGAGAGTGTGGCGCCGGCCGGCTCGCGCGCCGTCTTCTGGTGAACCGGCCCGGCCCGGCCCGCCCCGCCAGGGGGGAGGGGCGACACGGCCGCTGCCGTGCCGGGCTCCGCCGCGCCGCCAACAGCGCCGCACGCACCGTCGCCGAGAAGAGACGTTTTTGTGCCTGTGGGTGGAGCGGGAATGGTCAGGCTTGGCTTGTGCCATGCTACGCTTTTTCATTTCCGTTGTGGGGCGGCTTCGTTTCGGCGGGAAGGTGATGAAAGTGGCCACATCGTTTAGTCGGCCCGCGAGACCAACATCCTTCGTAAACGGTGAACTGAATGCCCGGGTACTCGTTGAAAAACGATCCGAACAAAACCGATTTCAATTTTGTTCACTGACGCCAGGTCAGCTAGGTGTGACTGATGCGAGTAACAGAGACGGTCCTTTTCAGAAACGTATCAGAACCATTACAACGACATGAGATGTGTGACAAACAGGGTAATGACAAGTGTAGTTGTATTGTTACCATGTAGATCAGTGTTCCCCGCCTTTGATGGCCATGTCCCCTTGATGGTGGATCAAAATTCACGCTTTCTTTTCGAACCAAACGGCATAATTGACCTACGTCAAGCGCATTTTATCTCTTGTGAGGAGCTTTAGGCGTATCACTCATAGGTTCAGAGAAGTTCCTACGCAGCGATTGTGTTCGGGCAGTACAAATTAAATCTAATAATTTAATTAGGCATCCGTGCCCGAACACTCATTGCAGTAACGCCCCTCATTCAGCACCGACCTGTTTGATACTACCTGGGCAATTATCTTCCCTGACTCTTAACTCAAATATGGTTTGCAACATCGCGTTTCCCCTTCCTTGGACCATCATACCCCCCCCCCCCCCCCCCCGCCTCCCCCTCCTGTGTGGAAGGCCTTGTGCGTGGTACCCAAAAAGGATAAAACACCCAACGCATGTGGCAACCGACACCAAAGGCTCGATCAGCGCGTTGGAAGGCACCTTTTATGAGATTTTGACAGGCACAGGTCCGCTGATTCGGCATTTGCGCAATCATTGACCTCTGCCATTGTCTGAAAGCTGGCTGGCCGTGAATGCCGTCAGCCTTGGCAAGTTAAACCGTCGGCATAACTACATCTGCAATTATTTGCGGTTTTGTCAATTATGACCTAATTATATACATACATATATATATATATTTATATATATATATATATATACGTATATATGCATATATATGTGTGCATATATATATATATATATATACACATATACATATATGCACGGTCTCAGCTTTGAGATACATTTGCGGTCGGGCTGTAGCCGGTACACGCGCTCACATGGTAGTCTCGGTCTCACGCCTGTGTCTGACCCGGTGGATGAGATTGACCTCAATTGGTAACGACACCCGAATCAGGCGGGTCCAAGCTTTGCACACGAGGCAGTGTGCTATTCCGCGCGCATTGAATCAAACGTTTACTTGTGCCGTTGTCTGTTGTTTCCTCCGTCAGCACTGACCAGTTCGCACCAGTTCAGCATCAGTTCATCTGGGGTTCGCTGCGAAGCCAGGTTGTCGATACTTGAGCCCGACCTCTACCTGTCCTCTTCAGCTGTTTCGCTTTTACCTTTTTAATGTTCTTCGAATGGTAATATTGGCAATGGTGGTAATATTGCAATGTCGCAGGGAAAACACTCCTGATCGGACAATATTCGTGCAAATGCTCAGGAATCTACGCGGCAAATCGCAGCCTGGTACACCATCACCCCTGAGCTCTCATATGGCCGAGAAGTTCGTTGTGTTCCCTTGAAAATTTCTTTAACCGCATTTTTATTCATTGAATGCGGAAAGTCGCAGCAAGCCTGTGCTACATTTACACTGGATCCTAGGGGGATGGGGTCTCATAGACACGTTAAACAAGGGCTTTCAAGCGTAAGGTCTGCGATGGTGTAATGGTTGTTTCATGCCGTTCAATAAGGTTTGCTGTCCTTAGTTATGATATGTACTCATATGTGACTGCTATGTGATCATGTTGTCACAGGGCCCGAAGCCCCAAGCGATCTTAAATGATCAAGCGATCTTTGTTTCGTTTCAAATGTCTTGTGTGAATTTACAGTGTTGTGCTCTCCAGACCTCAGCCGTTTGTGGTTTGGCGGAATGACCTTGACTCAAACCTCAGGCCGCGAAGCGTCCTTCCGGCGGGATCGTCACCGGTCGGCAGTCAGGTGAGTCTGACCTCGGGTCACCTGGCCAGCTGGCCGTCAGAATGTCGATTGTGCCTCTCGCCGTGATAGACACGCACTACGCACTGATGCATCAGAACTTGTTCTGCGGAGTTCTCGATGTGTTGCGTCATGGGCCAGTGGCGCTTTCCCGGAGCGTTAAATAAGAGTGCATTCCCAGAATGATAGATAGTTCATGGACCGGAAACCTGATAGCATCCGGAGATTGTTAGCCGTGGACTCGTTTCGGTGGTCTTCTGGGAAAGCGCAGACCAACGCACAGGCAGTCCCGCTCGCTGGGTGGTTTCCTCACTTCCAAACCAACGCGCTTGGCCAACACTAAGCAGGCAACCCAGTGGTGCTACAGAAAGTCCAAAATATTCAGCTTCGCGGGCTGTATTTGGTTTCTGCATGCATGTCGCGGGGGAATTTTATGGCGGCGGCCTGAGACGCAGGCATGTGTGAGCTCGACCACACGAACGCCGCCTCCCTGTGTTGATGGGCGGCCGGGGGCGGATGTGTCGCCGTCCTGCCGGGCTTGACGCACTCGAGCTGAGCCGCGGAGACCACTGCGAACTCGCCGAACAGCGCCCCAAGAGGCTCAGGCTAACCCGGCATAGTGGGATAGGAGGTCGAATAATTGGATTGGACCGGCGTCGATTAGCCCATTCCTTTTCCCGTTGGCCAGGCCATACCAGCTCATACCAACGGCATAGTGTATGTGAGAGACCGATCATATACTGCAAGAGCTTAACAGGTTTAGACCGATTTTGCGGGCTACCAAACAACATTAACCATGTCTTCCCAGCATTGTCCCTGAAACTGTTAGTAGGAGGTAAACATTAAGCGATGCCAGGAACCTGAGCCAAACATTGAGAGAGGCCAAAAACCTGGAGCAAAACATCAAGAGAGGCCAGAACACGTTCATGTGGTGGCGGCGTGTTGGGATTGGTCTGTTCTTCCGTTGACTCAACGTCGGGTGTCCCCGCCCTGAGCAAGCACCGCTCGCTCGGCGAATAGCAGACCAAGGTTTATGCGCTGCTTCGACGCCCGGCGTCAGCCGCGTGTAACTAAGCCTGTTTGGCTCTCATCATCTGCAACCCGTCATCATCCGATCGCACGGATCATGTGATCCGTCGGATGCGATTGTGCGGATTCCGATCCGAGTCCGTCTCCGCAGCCGACAGCGGGGCCGAGACCGCTGCGCCGGCCGACCGCCCCCGCCGACCTCCCCTGGTTGTCAGGCGAACACAAACGGTGACCTTTCCCGTTCAGTGTGACGGACGGCGGCATCTCCGGGTCGTCAGTGGACCGCACGGCGCCGGTGCATCGGTCCTTGTTACATAAGGGCGCCGCTCGTGCGCGCTGTGCCCCCCCCCCCCCCCCCCCCCCCCGAGGGCAGCCGTCATCAGCGCCGGCAGGTTTCCGTTCTTGAAGGATTGGCCCGGCAGGGTGCCAGCTTAACCGGCGGCGCAGAGCGCGCCGAGCTGTGGTGGGCGCGACAGAACGCGCGAAGCGGGATCTATGCTCCGCCCTGCGTCAGTGGCGACCACATCCGACTCCCTCGACGCTCCCCTACAGCCTTACGTAAGCTGGCAGCGGCCGGCCGCGCTGAGCCGGCACCCTGTGCTGCGACGCTGCGCCGGGGTTTTCCACGCCTGCCTGGCCGGAAGGGACGGCGCCTGGCGTGACGGGTCTAACTTGGTGCGTCAACACGAGGGCGCCCGCGGCGGCGCCCGTCACGGCGCCTGACTGCGCCGATAACGCCCCCCGTGCGTACGGCGAAGTGGGGCGGGCTCGCGGGCGCGCCGAAGTTCCGGCTCCGCGCGGGGGGGGGGGAGGGGGCAGCGTGACGAAGATGGGGCTTACCGTGCCAAACGGGTCGAGATGGACGGGCTGTTGGGGGCAATCGCGTGGTATGGTTTGTCGAGAAGGTGACTGGTATGCGGTTACAGTACGCAGTCACGACACTTACAGCGAGATGGTCTGTCAGGAGGTGACTTGCATAAAGCTACAGTACGTAGTTACAGCAGTTACAGCGAGATAGTCTATCGAAAAGATGAATTGCATAAAGTTGCAGTATGCAGTTACAGCAGTTACAGTGAGAGGGCCTGTCAAAAGGTGACGCATAAAGTTACAGCACGCAGTTACGGCAGTTACAGCGAGATGGCCTGTCAAAATATGACTTGCATAAAGTTACAGTACGCAGCTACGGCAGTTACAGCGAGGTGGTCTGTCCAGAAGGTGACTTGCATAAAGTTGCAGCTCGCAGTTACGGCAGTTACGGCGAGATGGTCTGTCGAGAAGGTGACTGGTATGCGGTTATAGTACGCAGTCACGGCATTTACAGCGAGGTGGTCTGTCAGAAGGTGACTTGCATAAAATTATAGTACGCAGTTACAGCAGTTACAGCGAGATGGTCTATCGAAATATGACTTGCATAAAGTTGCGGTATGCAGTTACAGCAGTTACAGCGAGAGAGCCTGTCAAAAGGTGACTTGCATAAAGTTACAGTACGCAGTTACGGCAGTTACAGCGAGTTGGTCTGTCGGGAAGGTGACTTGCATAAGGTTACAGTACGCAGTTACGGCAGTTACAGTGAGATGGTCTGTCGAGAAGGTGACTGGTATGCGGTTACAGTACGAGTTACGGCAGTTACAGCGGGATGGTCTGTTGGAAGGTGACTTGCATAAAGTTTCAGTACGCAGTTGCAACGGTTACGGCGAGATGGTCTGTCGAGGAGGTGACTGGTGTGCGGTTACAGTATGCAGTTACAGCAGCTACAGGGCTGACATGCGGTTACAGTACACATTTACAGCATATACGGGGTAATTGTCTGCTGAGAAAGTGACTGGCATGTAGTTACACCATGCAGTTGCAGCAGTTACAGTTTGAGGAAGTTCGAGTGCTCCGACTTGTCAGTTCCGGACGCACCGCACTTTGTAATATCGCGAAACGATTGGGAGAACCTTGTCACTGTTCAGGAGACCGGGGTGGTGTAGCAAGGGTCGGCTTTGTGGCCAGATCTTAAAGCATTCGTTTTGAAGCAGCAAACAGCTGCATCGGCGGGGCTCAGAAGCCGTGTGTTTGGCGAGGAGGCGCGGTCGGGGGTCGCCCGATCATTCTGGCACCAAGAGTGGGGCTAGGTGGCCTGAGGTTATGCAGGGACGAATCTTCACCCCTTGAAATTCTGAGGCACAGAACAGCTACATGGTCCATGTGAGTTACGCTCATGAATCTATGTGAACCATATCTCTGTGAACTAAGATGGTCCATGTGATTTACTGCTATGGAACGGCATAGCCAGTAGCATCGCAGTGGCATAGCCAGTAGCATCGCAGTGGCATAGCCAGTAGCATCGCAGTGGAAAATTGTAAAAAACCGAGACGTTTGTTTAATCCGCCAGGAGTGTTCATTCTGTGCAGAGGTACCTGTGCCACACGTCTGTCGCGTCGGCATCCGCGAAAAAAGCGAATAGGAAATGATCCCGTCTCTTCAAAGAGCTGAACATATGTGGTTTCAAACGACTTATATCAAAAAAGTCCTCAGGTGATTAGGTTTAGTACCAATGCAGTGCCAAGTCAGGTTCCTCAAATTGTCTGGTCGGTTTCCGTGAATCTCGACCGGAGTTACTCTAGGGGAGGTCATTTGGTAGATTGTCGGTTTGAAAGAATGGTGGAGCGTTGAACGAACGGTGCGGCACCTGCTTGTGGCAAAACCGGGAAAGTAGAAAGGACCCTTTGACTGTTACCCGACACGCAATTTAAATGTCGGCGTCGAGGCACGGGTGTGCAACAAGGAAAAAAGATATTGCGAGTATTCATATGTCATCAACGCTAACGTGTGGAGGTGCCCGAGTTTGAGGCAAAGCTGAAAACGACTGCAGCTGCCGTTACGTCTACGTACAAGTCATCTCTTGGCAGTCATCGGAAGCTGCGCTGTGGGCAAAGAAACCCCTAAATTTACCGGATTTACGTCATTGATGCTATTATGACTGGCGGAGGCTGTGGGCCTAGTGTTTCTGCTTCAAACTTTTCTTGTAGAGGATTTTCTTTACAAACTGCGTGTTCTATGGTATCCCGTATATAGAAGGCACCGTGTACTGGCCAATGTCTTTTGAGTGAAAAGCTACAATTGTTTCCGTAACCGCGAACAGGAATACGTATCAGTCCTGTTTTGCGATGTGTTTGGGTACAGGGCTCAGTCGAAGATGCGAACAATACGCAATACCTTAGGAAGTCATTGTGTGCGCTCACATTCCATTTAAGCATTGGCATGACGTCAATAATGGCAGTGCGATGGAATGTCTCTGGGCTGAAAGCCCTCTTGTAGCGTTACGTGCTATGATGATGAACAGCTGGTTTTATTGCGGCGAAAGTGATATTTAATCGTGATTTCGTACTGCTATGAAACTCACCTGCACAGGAATTCTTAAACCTTGTCCCAAAGTATAGGATTGATCCCATCTGCTTTATAAAGCTGAGTTCATGCACATCGATGCTCCTATGACCACGAGAGCCTGAACATGAATTAACATGAACATGACTCGCAACGGTGGAAGTCAGTGAGGAAGCTACGTGCGGTGATATATATATATATATATATATATATATATATATATATATATATTGGAAGAGTACATGACCTATGGCATGGGCACCTCCTCACCTGCGTTTGTGCTAGGTTGCTTCGTCCGTAATGCGGAGGGAAATAAAACATGTTCATGGCGTCTAATCTCACTGGCGTTAACTCGCGGCGTGCATGGTACCGAGGTGCAGAGCCGTTATTTGCAAAGAAGTTAAACCAATAGACAATACGTCGACAAGTAGCGCCTAGATGAGGGACTTACATGGCAGGTGAACTAGGCTGTGCCGCCCCTCTCCTCCCCCTCCCCTCCCCTCTCCAGTTCATCGTTGGATATTCCGCCGTGGTCCGATGAAAATGCCATAATTGTCATTTCACCAAATGATGATATTCTAAACAGTGGATGACTGCTTTATTTC